TGGCCTCTGCCTGAAAAATGCTTGTTTTAACTCTGTTGTAAAACTCTGTTATGGTTAGAGGAAAAATCAAAGCCAAAACAGAAGACTTGGGGCAGAGAGCTGGTACAGCAGTTGGGGTGCATGCCCTTCACGTGCGACTCAGGTTCCATCCCTGGCATCTCAGATGGTCCCCCAACCCCATTAGGAGCCATCCCTGAGTGCTGAGCCAGGAGTAAACCCTGAGCACTGCCAGATGTGGCCCAGAAGCCAAGAAAAAATAATTTTTTAAATAAAAATTAAACAAGACTAAGACTCAGCTATAGCTCAAATCATATGTCCTCTTGAACACTTACCTTTGTATCTTCTTTAGTCATTTGTACTTAAACACTTATATGTATATGTATAAAAGGGATAGGGATAGGATGGGGGTAAGAATGTATGTTTAAGAGGTCATTCCTGGGGGCTGGAGCAATAGCATAGTGGGTAGGGCGTTTGCCTTGCATGCCGCCGACCCAGGTTCGATTCCCAGCATCCCATATGGTACCACGAGCACCGCCAGGAGTAATTCCTGACTGCATAAACCAGAATTAACCCCTGTGCAATGCTGGGTGTGACCCAAAAATAATATAAAAAAAAAGAGGTCAGTCCTGAAGCATTTATATAATGATAGATTGGATCTGTAAAGTTTTTTTTTTCTAAAAAGTCTCTAATGCCAAACCTTATTTACATATATAGTGCTCTGTATGCACATTATATAAGCTGGTCTCATCAAGGTCCTTATAATATTAAATCTTAATAGTTTTAAGAAATTTCCTTTCCTGCATACCAACTATAAACGGATGTTTCTTAGACGACATTAACTTGGGAGGAATAGTCTACTCCACACTCTCCCACAATGAGCTGAGTCAGGTTACTCATTTCCCCCCGTGTCTGTAAAACAGATGGTACTGGTAGACACTTGTCCCCCAAGATTTAGTTCACACATGGTGGCATTGTATTTTTTCACACTGAAGGCAATAATACTAAGTATTTTGAGTTAAATATTTCTTAGAAAAGTGAACATTTGCTTTAAAAGAATATGAGATGAAAATTATTCACACTGGGTCTAGGCAATTTTTGTTTAGTTAAGAAGATGTTAAAGTTCTAAACTTTATAGGAATCTACTCTCAATAATTTATTGGTCCAAATTTTATTTTCAGTTGAAATGATCCGTTCTGGATCTTCAGTGGAGACATGAGATGAGAAGTAGAATTTCCTCAGTTCCATACCTGAAGGGACTTACAAGGGTTTATTCTATTTTCATGATTAAATTCTTATGTATTCCCTGGATTTTAGTCTTAGGAAGGTGATCATCTGGTTCCGGCATTTGTGGTTTGTGAATATGAACAGTGTTTATATGCCGATGTCCTGGGTGAGTTGTTTTTACAGCTCTGACAGTCACTGGTTTTTAATCCTTGGGAACATGCTCTGAGCTCTTTTTACTTTCCCATAGTAAGAGAAAGGAGCGCTTCAAAATTTTACCTGGGCTTCCCAACAAACTGTGGGGAGGGTTTGCTTCTATACTCTTTTGCAAGTGAAGAAACTGAGATGTGAAATAACTTGCCCCAAATTCCAACTCTGCTAAGTGATGCGCAGGAAGAAAGCCTTTCTTTGCTTTGGTGGAAGTGGACTTGCGTGTAGATTCCCACACTGGGGCAGAGCAGCTCCGGGAAAGGACAAAGGCAGAGGCACTCAGTAAGAGAGCACATCCCTGGCTGTCTGTGAGCAGCGCCCCTGCACAAATGAGTTTCATGGTGGTCACCAAGTCAGGTAGAAAGGAAGTTGGATTAACTGTCAGCAGTAAGGACCCTTGTCATTGAATCGCAGACACAGCAGTCTTCCCTCATGTCCCTTGACTTCACATCTTAAGTGCGCTCTCCAGAGCCCCCATGCTCTGAACCCCTGATGCAAGTAAGTGGTGACGGTTTGCTTCCTGCTAGTACTGAGGATTTTATCCGTATAAGAATTCAACAGAAAAACAGTAGCAAGACCTTTACCGCAGTCTAAGGAATCATCACTGATAATTATGATTTTAAAAAAAAAGTGAAAGGGTTTAAGAAGAATTTTGCCTGTTATTGAGCTTCCAGAATATGGATAAGTAATGCAGCTACAGGGCGATTAGCACATATTCCAGTTCTTGGGTCTAGAACTACATACCAGTAGTATGGTAGGGCATTTGCCTTGCACACAGCTGACCCGGATTCAATCCCCAGCATCCCCTGTGGTCCCCTGAAAGCCCTTAGGAGTCATTGCTGAGTACAGAGCCAGGAGTAGTCTCTGAGCATCATCAGGCGTGGCCCCAAACCAAAAACCAAACCGTATGCCAGTTCCTCCTGGAAATTGGACTAAAGATGATCCACTGAAAGGTCTTGGGTTAAGTGCTTTGGGGTCTCTGAAGCTAAAGTGAGGATTTCCTTGCACTTTGAATAGAATTTCCCTTCGTCCCTTTAAAACCTCACAGCTTGCATAATGTAACCAATCAGAATCTGCTTTTAATACGGACTAGTTTAACTCATGTGGTCTGATCCAGAATTCCTTCATTTTGATCAAAGACCAAACGTGGATGCCTGGCAGTAGTAGTTTAGCCTAAAACAAAGCACTGATGTTTCAGACAGGCCCAGAAACCCAAGATCACTGTCAGCCACATCTGGATAAAAACTCCTGTGCTCTCCCTCAGTCTGGAGAGAGTGTCCAGTGATGCTGAGGATAGGGGAAGGCAGCATGGCTGCGGGACCACTAGAGGGCGCCTTGGGTGGCGGAAGGAAGCTGCCCCACTGTCTCCAGCCCTGCCAGGTCGTCACTGGCCCTCTAGTGAGGTGATGGCACATCTGGCTTGCCGCCATGCATCCTACTTAATTGATGCCCAGATGACAGAATCTGGCGCCAGCCTTCTATCAGGAGGGAAACTTTTGACAAGGGAACACATTTCTGACTGATGTGTCACATGACCAGCTGTAGCGCTTGCACGTCCCTAGTGGTAGCTGCCCAATGCCATGGGAAGTGACTGACTAGTTTTTGATCTCCCCCTGTCAGTTTTAAAGTTATGTAATGTATTTAAATCCTTAAATAAAAGTTGTTTTCAGAAACAATCAAAAAAGGTTAGCAGTAGCAGCACAAAGACTGGAGACATGGGATCCTCCTTGCTTGTGTCTGTCCAGAAATGCCACCAGATGCAGCTGGCTCCCAGCTCACTTTCTCAGGACGGTTAGGTTTGCTTCATTCACTTCTTCTGTGCCTGAGCTGGAACATGCTCTGTATCCTGTGGTGGAAAGTGCCTCCCTGTTTTTCCCTGGCCTTTTTCTTACTCTGAAAAAGTATTTTTTTTTTAAATTTTTATTAGTGAAACACCATGAGGTACAATTGTAGACTTACAAATTTTTGTGCTTGGGTTTCAGTTATACAATGATCGAGCACCCATCCCTCCGCCAGTGCCCATTTTCCACCACCAATGATCCCATTATCCCTCCCATCCCCCCATCTCCCCCATCCCACCCCTCCTCTGTGGCAGGGCATTCCCTTTTGCTCTCTCTCTCCTTTTGGGTGCTGTGGTTTGCAAAAGAGGCATTGAGTGGCAATCATGTTCGGTCTATAGTCTACTTTCAGCATGCATCTCCCATCCTGGGAGGATCCTCCCAACACCCTTTATTTGGTGCTCCCTTCTCTATCTGAGCTGGGTTTTAAAACATTGTAAGTAAATTCTCTAGTACATAATTGGTGCTCACGCAAAAAAAAAAGAAAAGAAAAGAAAAAGGAACTTGTTGAATGAGTAAAAGATATTCTTACAGGTTTCATTGGAGAGTCAGTTTTCAAACCCAGGTTATTTTGACCTGAGACATATATCTGTGGTTTCTGAGAGAAGGGCATATGCATAGAGGCAGGGAAAGTCATTAAGTATTGTAGCGTTAACTTTTTTTTTTTTTCAGATTCCCCTGCTAGAATCCAAGATTTCAGTAATTGGTTTTTATCAGTACTTCCAGATTGTTCCTTAATAGGATCAAGAGAGAGAATGTCAGGCTCGGTTTGGTAATATAGACTCGACATTGACAAATCTCCTGTGTGGCTCAGAATAATGGCTCACACATCACCAACGCTGACAGCTTACTCTAATTAGATATGTTTCTGAGAATCGAAGGTAGAGTTTGGAATTTTTTCCTAATTTGCTTTTACCAGAATATGTACCATATTTTCCTGGAAATTGGGAGTGATTGAGTTACTGTTGTTCGAGTATTAGCCTCCCTGTTAACGAATTCCAAATCGTGACCAAGGCTATTACTCCTTCAGTGACATGCAGACCAATATTAATATAAATAAATATGGGCAATAAATCATTTATTTTCCTCTCCTGCCAGCTGTTGGAATCTTTATTTTGTTCTATTTGAATAATTTTATTATTTTTAGTGAACTTACTTAGAATTATAGAAAAGTATCTCATTGAACCCCAGTGTTGAGCAGAGTGAAAATTGGTTGAATGCTTTCTCTATGCAGTTGGAAATGTTTGTGATTTGAAGAACAGGGATGGGATTTATCCCTAACTGACCTCTGGAGAAAACATACTTCTCAGCTGTCTAGACATTTATAGTGGGATTATTGAACTGCAGCTTTGATGCTGTGGATATTTAGAGAGTCCAAAAAATTTGTCCAGGAAAATGATGAAAATGAAAATTATTTACAAGGTGAATTATTATAAATGATCATGGAATTGTGGAGCAGCTCTGATGAAGGTAGGTGGTAGTTGAATGGCCAGAATCATATTATTTAAGTGTGTGGACATTTTAAGGTAGAAGAGGAGTAGCAGGAGAAGCCTCCTTGTAGATGTAGTTCGTGTCTTACTGTTACGGCCTCCACTGTGTACCAGCTCCGGTATCTGGTACTCACTTCTCAGGGGGATTGTCAGCCTTGATTAAATGGCAGTGATGTAAAGGACCTAGTCACTGAATGCGAACCTCATCCTGTCGTTCTCTTGTCATTATTGTTACTAACAGGCTGATCCTAAAGAGCTAATAAAGACAGTTACCCGGCATGTGACTCGATACGGCCACGAAGCCTGGCCTGAGGATGTCCTTTCATTGACCAAGCAGCTGCATTACTACAACGAACGGCTTCTGGATTTCACTCAGGCCCAGATCCTTCAGGGCCTCCGGAAGGGTGTGGACGTGCAGCGTTTCACCGCAGACAACCAGTACAAAAGGGAAACCATCCTCGGGCTGGCAGAGTAAGGGATAACCTTTGTCTCACAAAATTGAATGACCAGAACTGTAATCAGCTTTGAAAATTCATGTTTGTGGTTTTCGTAGACCAGACTTTTCCCTACTTCTCCTGTTATATGAGTGGTGTGTGTGGTTTTCCAAATGGGTTAGTAGAGGCAGATGATATTTTGAACTTACAGATTTAAATAGTAAGGACAGGAAGTATTATTGCTATTTTAAATTTAAATTTATAAAAAATTTTGGTGGGAGGGGTTGGTGTAGCACCCAACAGTGCTCATTACTTATTCCTGCCTCTGTGCTCAGGGATCATTCCTGGTGGGACTCAGGGGGCCATCGGGGGTCCCAGGGATCAAACGGAGTCGGCCACATATAAGGCACATGCCCTACCTGTACTATCGCTCCTTTCCCTTTTTTATTAACCTTTTTTTAATTGAGGTTCTATAATTTACATATCTGTTAGTCTGTTAATGATAGCTCTCTGTGCGTGTATTTCCACAGCTCCCACCAGTGTACCCACCTTTCTCTCCAGGAGAAATTAATATTAAAATTAATATTTTTAATATTATCCTGTTAATCCTGTTTTGATTCGATACCTAAGACCCAATCCATTACTATGTTAAGAGTAGAGTAAATGTAAACAGAGGTAAAGTAGGAAGCATATTAGAGAAATCCAAAGCAAAAAAGATAGCCGTTTGCTTTTATTCCTGACCGGAAATCTCAACTTTAAAATCCCATAGAAAATCAATGTATTTCTTATTTTTAAAAACTGAACACAGTTGCCTCCATGCCAAAGGAAGAACCCAAGTTTGGGTTTAAGAGTGCGCTGGCCTGGGCTGAGCTCACCAGTCCTGCCATCTCCCCCATCAGGAACTGGACGCAGATGTACTGTTTGCCCGGGTCCTTCCTCCCTTTGAGGAGAGGAGCGAGCCCCAGGGAAGTGGCAGCACCTGGCCCAGTAGGGTGGGTTCCTTGGAGTTCCTTTCTAAACTCGGAGGACCTGCTTTTGGATTTTTCTACTAGTCTCCATTATTTGCCAAGATTAAATGAGAATTACACAGTAGAAGGGGGACAACTTATAACAGTTATCGGGTAGAGAGATTTGGCTTTTAATAGCATAGTTACCTGAGCACGTAACATCGTTATTTTTTAGATAGCAGGTACTCTGTAATGGCTATCTAAATTTTGTGTATATATATATATGTATTTTGCTTTTTGGGTCACAGCCAGCAATGCTCAGGGGTTATTCCTGGCTCTCCACTCAGGAATTACTCCTGGCTGTGCTTGGGGGACTATATGGGATGCTGGGAATTGAACCCGGGTCGGCCCCGTGCAAGGCAAACGCCCTCCCTGCTGTGCTATCGCTCTTGCCCCCTGTAAATATATATTTTTAATCCTCTTTATCACCTGATAACTATCCCTATTTTTAGAGTTGAGGAGAAGCAGGCTTATGGACATTAAGTAAATGATGTATTTCTATAGCTGATCAGGATCACCACTGTGTTTTCCAGTATTGATTTGTCACCTAGCCATTGCATGGTCCCAACTACAGACCAGTGTGCTTGCTCACACTGCTTGACTATATGCGCAAGGAAACACTAGCATGCATTTGGTCAGGGCTTCTGTCTTTGAAACTAAGGCTAAATGGTGCCAGTGTTTAATTGCCATTCCTATCTCCTTAGATGTTACATAAAATAACAAAAATCATCCTGGGTATGGCATAAAATTTGTGTTATCATTCATCAATACTGTTTCATTATTTGAAAAAGTAACCTTGGTACCTTGTAATTATTTTATGTTATTGGGCTTCTATCCTATTAGAAATATATCAGATTATCTTTATTTTCATGTTTTTAATTTTTATTTTATTTATTTTGGGGGGGCGTGCATACCTCGTGATGCTGGGAGGCTACCGTGCTCTTAAGGGTTTCTCCTGGCAGTGCTTGGGGGACCATGTGGTGCCCAGGATCGAACCCATTAAGCTATTTCCACCTCCCCCCCTCCAAATTCTCTTTAAAGAATAGAGAAATCAAAGAAAGCTTGTGGGGACCTGCAGTAGGACTTAGTTAAAGACATGCAGTTCTGGAAATATCCGAACCTGGTGCAGAGTGAGGGCCTCCAGGGCTGCTCCCGTGGTACTCAGGGGGACCGTGCAATGCCAGAAATGCACTGCACCCTAACCATTCTAACAGCTGCCTGGCCTCAGTCCCTGTTTCTTAAGGAATTCTTATTCTGTCACTTTGTGGTAGACTGGACACTTTATTGAGGTCCAGAAAGCAAAGAGAAAATTTGACTTTTTTTTTTTTGAGAAATCCAATAAAGGAACATGCTAGAGCCCCCTTCCCCAGTACCTCTGAGTGTGGCCTGGTACCCCAGCAATGCTGGGCCCACACAGCCCTGGGAACAGTTCTGAGCCCAGAACAGTGTGTCCTATACTGTTAGACCTAGTATCACTGAAACATATGGGGTCATATGGGCACTTCTAATGTACATGTTTCATTTGTTTACTCTATTATGCATATGGCCACATACACATAAGGAAGAATATGCTAAAGAGTCTTATGCTATGTTGAAAGTAGACTATGGACTGAACGTGTTTGCCCCTCAATGCCTCTTTTGCAGACCACAACACCCAAAAGGAGAGAGAGAACAGAGGGGAATGCCCTGCCACAGAGGCAGGGTGGGATAGGGGGATGGGGGTGGGAGGGATACTGGGATCCGTGGTGGTGGGAAATGGCCACTGGTGGAGAGATGGGTATTTGATCATTGTATAATCGAAACCCAAGCACAAAAAATTGTAAATCGACAACTGTACCTCATGGTGTTTCACTAATAAAAATTAAAAAAATAAAGAGTCTTATGCTAGAGACAGGGTCTCAAGGATGTATATCCAATTGTATGTACAAAAGATGTTTGCCAAACTCAGCTCACAAATCAGGTAACTATTCTGATTTCCTTAGCTGTGGTTAGGAGAGTTTTAGTATTATTAATAAGAAGTGTTTTTTTTTTAATTTTTGCTATATCGAGAATATCTCGCCCGCATGGCAAAGCCTGGCAAGCTACCCATGACATATTTGATATGTCAAACACAGTAAAAACAAATCTCACAATGGGAATGTTACTGGGCTTTCTTGAGCAAATCGATGAACAACAGGAGGACAGTGCTACAGTGCTGCTATTATTATTGTTGTTGTTGTTATATTAGGGAAACACCATGAGGTACAGTTGTAGACTTGCTTGGGTTTCAGTTATACAATGATTGGGTACCCATCCCTCCACCAGTGCCCATTCTCCACCACCAATGATCCTAGTAGCCCTCCCACCCCCACACCCTATCCCCCCACCCACCCCACCTCTGTGGCAGGGCATTCCCTTTTGCTCACTCTTTCCTTCAGGATCTTGTAGTTTGCTATAGAGGTATTGAGTGGCCATTGTGTTTGGTCTCTAGTCTATTTTCAGCACCTATCTCACATCCCGAGCGAGTCCTCCAAACATCCTTTACTTGGTGTTCCCTTCTCTATCTGAGCTACCTTTTCCCCCAGCATGTGCTCCCAGCTTCCAAGCCCTTATCAGGGCTTATCTGGTACTTACCTCAACTGTTCTCTGGTGTGGGTGTTTGACTGCCATTCTGTTCCTTTATATTCCCCAGATGAGTGCAGTCTTTTTAATGTCTGTCCCTCTCTTTCTGGCTCATTTCACTTAGCATGATACTTTCCATGTAGAACCACTTGTATGTAAATTTCATGTCTTCATCTTTTCTAACAGTTGCATAGTATTCCATTGTATAGATGTACCAAAGTTTCTTTAATCAGTCATCTGTTCTCGGGCACTCGGATTTTTTCCAAATATTGGCTATTGTGAACACTGCAGCAATGAACATAGAAGTGCAGGTGTCATTTTAACTGTACTTTTTTGCCTCTCTGGGATATATTCCCAGGAGTGGTATTGCTAAGTCAAATGAGAGCTCAATTTCTAATTTTTTGAGAATCATCCATACTGTTTTCCAAAAGGGCGGAACCAGTCAGCAATCACACCAGCAGTGAAGGAGGGTCTCGTTCGTGCCACATCTGCGCCAACACCAGTTGCTTTTGTTAATAAGAAGTGTTTTTATATCTGCTTCTGAGAAAAAGTCCTGCAATAATTTTTGGAAGTATCTTTAATGTGGGTACTCTGGATCAGAATGCCTTATGTACCAGGAGGTTTTCAAATCTCGTGTCTCAATTCCCAGGCTGAACCACTCTCTGGCCGTCTACTGCCATTGTGAGATCCAGCCCGTTAGCAGCTCAGAGGAGGCTGCCCATTCCTGGACAGGCCCTTTTGGTCTCCTCATCTGAAAGCCATCTTTCTCTATCCTCTATCTGACACCTCTGCTGCTTAGCTGGTGCTTTGTTTTGTTCTTTGAATGTTCACTTAGGCACTGTGATGTATCATACCAATGAAGTTTCAGACAATATTCTGTCCTCACCCCTACTGCCAGAGTGCCAGCATCCCCCCAACAACGTCTGGGTCCCCTCTGGCCCCCCTGCCCTACCCTCTTGACAAAGTCTCTTCTCTCAGTCTGCTCTTGGGCTTTGTTACCATTGATCATTTGTTAGTCTCGTATGATGTTTCTTCATAGTCCACATATGAGAGCTGTCATTCTGGATCTCACCCTCTCTTCCTGACTTCACTCAGTCTGATCCCTTCAGTTCTCATCATGTAGCAGTGAATTGCATGATCTCATTTTTTCCTTGTAGTCCAGGGGTATTCATTTGTGGATATACTCACCACAGTTTCTTTATCCACGCCTCTATCTCGGCCACTTGGGTTGTTTCCAGCTCACAGCTATTATGAATAGTGCCAAAATGATGAACATAGGATTATAGAAACCTTTTTGAAATGCTGCCTTCGGACTCTTCGATGCCAAGAGGTTTATGCTTTTTTTCTTTTTAAATCTTTTAACCTTCAGCTCAAGTTGTTCGCTTTGTTTTTCGTATCTTGTTATCTTCTCTGTTGGTATTCCCTCTGTCACACGTAATAGTTGGCTTCACACTGTTCATCTTCACTAGACTGAGTTTCTCAAGGAATCACTTAATCACTTAAGGAATATTTTTTAATATATACTAAGCAGCTAGCATAATAGCTACCATGGTATTGAAGGCTTAAAAATCTGTTGAGTTATACCCAAGAATAGCTGAGATCAGCACCAGGAGGATTACTCCATAACTTAGAGGCCAGCCGGGTATCCTAGAGGAAAGGGCAGTTCAGATAGAGAAGGGAGCACCAAATAAAGGATGTTAGGAGGACCCTCCCAGGAGGGGAGATGCATGTCGAATGTAGACTATGGACTGAACATGTTTGCCACTCAATTCCTCTTTTGCAGACCACAACACCCAAAAGGAGAGAGAGAACACAGGGGATTGCCCTGCCACAGAGGCGGGGGGGATGGGGGGATGGGGTGGGGGGATATTATCCATGGTGGTGGAAAATGGGCACTGGTGGATGGATGGGTATCTGATCATTGTATAATTGAAACCAAAGCACAAAAAATTCTAAATCTACAACTGAAAAATAAAATAAAATAAAATAAAGGGGAAAAAAAAATCTGTTGAGTTGTTCCACTCTTCTGTCTCAGATGTTTTCCTGTAGGACTAGGATACATAGCCTTTGCATTGTATTTGTTTGTTTTGTAGGTTCTAGTGTCCCAGAGCAGGTTTTTTTTTTTTCCTCTTTTGCTCAGCAATTTTTGGAATAGAGAATCCATTGTTGTGAGAGATTGCTCTGTGCAGTGTAGGATGCTCAGCATCATGCCTGACTTCTTCCCATGAGTAGCACCAGCCTGCCACCATCTCCTCCCCTACTGCAACAATCAAAATTGTCTCCAGACCGTTTGAAAGCACCCTTGGGGGATAAAATTGACCTCATTTGAGAACTACTGGCCTAGACAATTATTGGTAGATTTTAATATGAGAAAGAGAGAGAGAGAGAGAGAGAGAGAGAGAGAGAGAGAGAGAGAGAGTGTGTGTGTGAGAGAGAGAGAGAGAGAGAGAGAGAGAGAGAGAGAGAGAGAGAGAATGAATCCTTAAAATTCTTTGGAAGCACTTTCCAGGAATTACTGAGAAATGCCTTGTTAAGGAGAGGGCTGGCTATATTGGCTGTACCCCTCTCAGCGGTTGGGCAATCCTCGCGTACATTTTCTTTTCTGATTAAGGTAATGTGTTTCTCTTCTCTTCTCTTCCCTGTGGCTGACCGACGTCCTGAAGAACACTTGAGGAAGATGTCTTCAGCATTGCTCTTTCTCTGGCACAGCGTTATAGTGTCTCCCGCTGGGAAGTTTTTATGACCCATTTGGACTTCCTGTTCACCGACAGTGGGTAAGCATTCCGTTCAAATATTAGTGTCTTTCTTTCCAGGGACTGTTTTGAGTTGCCAAGGATTATTTCAGTTTTTCTTTCCTTTTCCTGTAACAGGCCAACATATGTGTACGATTTTTTTTCCTCCTATAATAGATGCCAATATTCTGATGATGTGTTTTAGTTTTTCGGCACTAATAGATTTCTTATTGCTCATTTTGTCATTCTTTGAGAGGTTTTTATTGAGAACCATTCTGTGCTAGGGGCATGGATAGACACCAGTGTTACTGTAGGGCGCAAAGCATGCATCTGGCTGTCTGGGAACTTATCGGTGGCTGTGGGGTGTGGGAGACAGATCATAATTGAATGACCTAAGCAGATATGAAATTGAAATTGTGAGAAGTGCTACAGGGGAAGGTCCTCTTGAGGAAATAACCCTGGGACTGAGACTTAGAATGACTGCACTGAATGGGAAAGGAACCACTTTCCAGAAGACAGAACAGTTAGGTACAGAAAACCTTTGAAGGAAGGAATATGGTGAGTGTGAGGGCTTAGTGTCTGGACAGTGGGGTGAGGCTTAGAGGATCAGGAGCACCAGGGTGTGTTACGGGACTGAAAAAGCCTAGAAGGCAGACCCTGTGCCAAGACTGTGCAAAGCTCTTTTCCCCAAGAGAAATGGAAAGCTGTCTTAGGGTTTTGGTGAAGGAAAAAGAAAAAAATACAATCAGTGGTCCATTTCAATATGTTCACTTTGACAATCATATGAGAAAAGATTTTAGGAAGGTCAAAACCGACACATAGAAACCAGTTTACATTGGGAGGGAATTATAGTTGTGGACTGGGTGACTGGGCACCACATTGGGGGAGGTGAGTTTTAAAAGTACAGGAAGTAGAGGTGAGAATGGGGGTTAGAAATAACCAGGACCGAAATTGACAGCACACCAAATATAACAAGTTGATTGATACAGGTAAACCAGATGTGAAGGGATTGAAGGGGGAAGGGCCAAGAACCTCCCCAGGTTTGTGCTTGTTCTCCCAGTTGGAGGACTCCATCATTCAGTCAGGCAGGGGCTGCTAGCCAAAGGCGGAGATTTTGAGGGGAAACAGCAAACTAATAGAGTTAGAAATGCCAAGAAAGAGGTCATGTGGGCCGCAGATCCTATAGATCTGAGATTCAAAAGAGAAAGATAGGACAGGAAATACAGAGATGAGAAATACACTCTCCATGGATGGAAGGGAGGCAGGAAGAAGGACTTGACACAGCCCTTGAGGACTTCCCATTGTTAATGGAGGAAGAGCTTTCAGCAAATGTGAAAAGAGAGGACTTGGAAAGGTGGGAGAAATGCCTAACTCCTCAAAGGGAAGCTGGGGTGGGCAGGAGAACTTAAAGAAGGGGAAAACAGAATGGGGCAAAATGCCTATAATTTAGCATCTTTCCTTCTTCCTAATCACTTTGAATATTTATCATCTACATTTTAGAAAATCTATTTATGAAATTGCTACCTGGAGGATAGTGGTCTCTTTGATAAATATTACATCGGCTACACCATATTTCAGGGACAGTAAGATATTCAAATATATTTTTCATATTTTGTGCTTATTGGCATTTTATTTAGTGTCCTTTCATTGAATGTTCCATAAATGGGTATCATATCTGTGCAAACAGGATGCTTCCTCGGTTTCTGAATATATTACAAATTATCAGGCAATCTTGTAATGTGCAGAACTGTTCCTGGTATATCATTATACCTGATAGCAGTGTGATTATGCAGCCTCACAGCAATTACAAAAGCAGGAAATCATTACCTCTTGGCATCATTACTTGTGAGTGACAAAACACCTAATATTGATTTACCAAGTGGTGTTTGGTGCTGCCTCTTCTTAACTTCAAAAGCAGTAGTTTGCCTTTCTACTCAATCAGACTTGGTTACACAGCTTATTAAAAAGCAGCCTTGTTAATCCAACAGAAGTTGCCCGACATTTACTTTCTGAGACAAAGCCAGTGGAAGTTAATAGGTCAGCATTACATGCAAAAGACAGTCCTTTGCCAGTGTGATTTTTCTTTTCCTTTACAAAGGCGTTTCTGACGTTGGTTTCCCTAGAATTTCGCATTCTCCTTTCTCTTGGTTGATTCTGGAGAGATTACCTACCTTTGTACATGCATAGAGAAGCATGAACACAAATTTAGGTGAGGCAGTAGGATGGAGTTTAACATTCAAATAGCTGTAGCAAATCCTGTCATTTTTCAGCTTCAGCTGTAACATAATTCTTGCAACATAACTCAATGGATCTGAATCCATTTTCCTTAACTTTAAAGTGTGATAAAAATGAAATGATTTAACAGTAAAGTATTGATCCTGAGTACTCGACACATGATTGGTGTTTATCTAATGATGGTTAATTCTGAAACTTCACTCCTTAAGAAATAGATCATTCCCATAAGCAGCTGTACTTTAGCCCAATTCTCCCTTTCTCTTTCTCAGGTTTCCTTTTTCCTAGAAGTTCTGAATAGCAGTGATGCCTTTGGTTTGCCATGTATTTCTGGAGCAAGTTGCAGACACTGGCTTTCTTAACCTGTTAATTCTTTGGGGGCATTTTCAGCCAACCAGCCTCAGGGCTAGTTTATTAATCATTGAAAACTTAACAGCCACCCTCTCCCATTGGCAGTTTGGTGAATCTTTAGTGAAGACCTCAGACAACATTCAATGCTAGTGTGTGTACAAGTAGTCTTGGTGGAAAGTGTTTGGGTATAACTACCAACTTATATCCTTAGGCAAGTTTCTTAAACTGCTTGAGTTTCAGTTTTCTATTTTCTCAGCAAAAGGGACCACTAACCTTACTTTGAAGGGTTTTGAAGATTAGAGAACGTCTTGGGACCTGAAAGATAGTAGAGTGGGTAGGGTGTTGCCTTGCATGCAGTCAACCCAGGTTCAATCCCCAGCATCCTATATGGATCACTAGCCCTACCAGAAGTGATCCCTGAGTTAAGAGACAGGAGTAGCACATGAGCAGTGCTGGGTGTGGCCCAAAAGCAAAAAACAAACAAAAGCCAAAACAGCAACAACAATAAAAGAGAACACCTTAGAACATATAAAGTTAAGTAATTAGCCTGATGGGTACTGTGTCTTAGTGCACTGATTCCTGTCATAGTTCTTTTGTCAGTTCTGGGGACTTCATTCAGATGCATCTTTGAGTTTTGTACACAAGATCATTTTTAAGTTCCAGAGAATACTTTTAGCTTGATGGAATAATGCCATGTCTGTTATATCATTACATATTAGTTTTATAGTGTCTTTCAATTTCAAGTAGTTTGCTGTGCAAGAAAACTATAGCCTTGTCCTTACAGAGTTTATATAAACTTAGATAGAACTTTATATAAGCTCTATAAGTGCTAAGTTTATATATATATGAAATACAAGCATTTATATGTATAAAACTATATTCTTATTCATATAGACTTATATTCTAGGAATACTCCTTTTCTCCCCTGCTCACAACACATATATCCAAAACCAGACAAAGCATATATCTAAAATTATAGGAAGTACCCTAAAGTTAAAAACACAGGAAGGATATAGGGGAGACCGCTTTTGGGACTTGAAAATAACTCTTTTTAAAAGTGATTTTGAAGAAGAGACATTGCAAGCAGAGGGAACAGATTCTGAGGCAGGAAAATTCTTGGCAGTATTGTATTTGTTAAAGAAAAACAAGTGACTGAACACACTGAGCAAAGAAGAACTAAACAGGAGAAGGTCACACAACCTCTTTCAGTTCACTCTAGCATCTGTTTTGTAGTCATCAGGGTGATTGAATGTTCAGGTGGTTTTCCTAGGATGGCAGAAATCATGATGTCATCTTTGTTGATTAATACTTCCTCCTTCAGACCTGTGAGAAGGGTTCTTGGTGATAGAGACTTGGAATGAGATGTGTGTTACTTGCAGTCAGCCCCATGTGCTCTGGTAGGTCCTTTTGGTTTCAGGTACAGAATGAGAAAGACCAGGTTATAGCTGGGAAGAGATATACAAGAGATACATCATATTATAAATTATAATGCATCAGCTTTTTTGTCAGGTGAAGCAGAAGGTACTCAGATTTTTTGCCTGAGGATTGCTCTTGCTAATTGTCAAGTTTGTGTCCAGAGAGCCACATTGTAAAAAATTCTAATCTCTGGTCTTCTCTTCTGTCTTTTCTTCCCTTAAGAAAACCCACCTTAGAGCTGGGGAGATAGTACAGGGGTTAATGCATATCCCCTTTCCCACATCTGCTTCAATCCCCAGCACCACATTGCCTCTACCTGTAACACTGGAGACCTCCAATTATTGCCAGGGTGATCCTATGCTGTAGCCTGGCCCTTACCTGTGTCATTAGGAACATCAGAAAGATGTTCGGAATTTTAATAGCTCTCCAAGTGATTCAGATAAGGTATAAAGTTTGAGAATCTTGGAACTATGGAAATTGCTTTTTTAATCTCAGGTTGAGTAAAGAGAAATATATTTAAAGACATCTACTTTTCTCCATGAGTATAAGTCCTTTCAGTACATGCCATGCTTCAGTCATGGTTTTGGTGATTGACAACTTGAAACCATTACAGAATACCTAAATCTTAAAATTTATTCAATGAATTTATTCCTTCTGAATTATACAACCAGTGCTAACTTCTTCCTGTGGCTAGTTTCTGAAAATTAAACATAAGCTATGTATATGTAAACACAATGTGTACATATGCTGCTTTATAGCAAATACTTGGCTTAAGAATGTGTAAACAAAAATTTTTTTTGTACCTTACCTGATGGTACTTAGGGCTTACTCCTGGCTCTGTGCCCATGAATCACTCCTGACAGTGCTCAGGGGACCATATGAGGTTTTGGGGTCAAATCCAGGTCAGCCGCTTGAAAGACAAAAGTCCTACCCACTGTACTATCTTTCTGGCCCTAGTAAACAATTTTTAAGTGAAATCATGAATTCCATTAGTGAAAAGACCATAGTTGCTACTCCTTTGAATGTGAGTTCTTTGAAATTGTTTTTTAAGCAGAGATTTTATTTCTTGTTTCAAAGGGAAGAAAAGATAACTCCTTCAATGGAAATTATTAAAATAGGTTATTGATTACTACATCTAAAAGATCTTTGCACATTGTAATTTACGGAAGAGGGAGGTTTTGGTATTTATCATGTGTCAGTAAAGGTATTCCAGTATCTCGCTTGACAAGATAATTAGATAAAATTGCACATTGGGCAAAATGAATTGTAAGCACAGAAGAATAAGTGGGTGAGTGAGGGGGAAAGTAATGTTGATTGAGAGAGTGTTTATAAGCGTCAAGTCAAGTACCGATGAACTAAAACTGTTAGAATTTAGTCATTGTCCATTTTGCAAGTGAGTCAGTCTTGAGTACTCTGTTAATCAGGGTGTTAGAAATGCAGTATGATAGAACATCCTTTGTAGATTAGTACTGCTGAGAGAGGGAACTATATTTTGCAGAAATAATCCTTTTTTATTTTTTCCCTTCTGTTCCATTTGGTTCGTTTTGGAGCCACACTCAGCTGTGTAAGGCAAGTGCAATTGACTGCCAAAATCCTGTTTTTCAAAATGTTGTTAGTGTGAGCCATTGGTCTTCATAAATCCATGTCTGCTTTGATCTTAGGCAAGTCACTAAACCATCTGATGTCACTACTTTATCTACAGGTTGATAATTGCATCGGTTTAACTTGCCTAGTATAATAATTAGCACGATGAATGCAATTTTGTTTTCCCTGCTTCATTGTTCTGCTGGCAGATTTTTGTTAATAATTATCTTCTTAATGGAATGGGTTATGCAGTTTCTTGCTTCATTACTACATTATTTTCAGATTTAATTTTCCTGCAAATTATGAAGGAATATGAGAAGTAGCGCCAGTGACTTTCATATACCACTGTGTGTACACTCACTTTTTGCACTGATAATGGCAGTTCAAACTTAGAATGGTTGTCGAATCAGTGCTTACCATCCAGCCGTCATTTTTACTCTCTCTGATCTTATGACTTAGGCTTTTGTGTGTGTGTGTGTGTGTGTGTGTGTGTGTGTGTGTGTGTGTGTGATTGTTCTTTTGCTCGGGTTGTTTTGTTTTGTTTGAAGTGCTCTCAACTTGGTGCTGGGGGGCTGAAAAGTATATGGTTACTCCCAAAAGCACCTGGGATAGCAGGACCCGACCTAGGGTTTCCTCTGCAAAGCTTGTGTGCTAGCGCTTTGAGCTATCTCTTGTGTCCTCACATTATCTTTCGCTGCTTTCATTTTCAGAATGCCAATCTAAAATTCTTTTCCATTAAGCCCTCTGTTGTCGTTGCTATTTACGTCCTCTAAAGTCAGACCTTCAGCAAGTCTGCTCTTAATTGGTCTATAATTGTGTTCCCTTGGTCAACCCATGGCATTAGTTTGCATTGTTTAATCTGAACTTTTTTTTTTTAACTCAATTAGATTTTCAAACCAAGGAATGGAAGCTCTATATTCTAAATTGTTAGACCTTTTCAATACTACAAATATCTTGTGCATAGAGAACACTTAGATTTTTGTTAGTTTGGCGTTTATAGACTATGTCAGTTGTTTCCTTGTTACCACACACCAATACTTGGTACTAAGGAAAAAAAAATAGAGTCGATGTATTATCTGTACAGTCCAGTGGCACTTAGCTTAGTGAGGGGGACAGACTTCTTAAAGCATGTTATGAGGACCAGAGTAGAAGGAGACAATCGTGTATCAGCGGTACTGGAGGAGAGAATTGGGGAAATGTTTTTAGGCTCAGGGACATTTCCGTACATTGGTGTATTTTTATAAATATTTGAATTGTGTCTTAATAGGAACACAATTAATAGGATGTCTTTTGACCGGGAAGTTAAAGAATACTTTAACATTATTTGATCTTTCCATTAGTTTGATTGCTTTTGTCACTGCAGTTATTATCAGTTTGTCATAAAAAATTTTAAACCCAAGTCAGATTAACATTATCCAGTTTAACTAAAAACATGTCTTGGTACTTACTGAAAGTGTAGTTCTAATAACTAGTACATCATATTTCAACGCTGGAGCGATAGCACAGCGGGTAGGGCGTTCGCCTTACAAGCGGCCAACATGGCCGACCCGAGTTCGATTCCTCCACCCCTCTCGGAGAGCCCGGCAAGCTACCGAGAGTATTCGATATGCCAGACACAGTAACAATGGAGACGTTACTGGGCCCGCTCGAGCAAATCGACGATCAACGGGAGGGCCTTATCATATTTCAGATATTTTCATTGCTACTGCTGAGAGCCTGGAAAAATATCACTTCTCTAAGAACCGCTGCTGCTTGGATTCTTAAAATTGCTAAGTATGGCATTCAGGCCGTCGTGGTTATTCGGCTCACACCAATGGGGGCAACACTGTTCTATGCAGGAAGAAGCACAAGCCCAGACTCAAACTGTTTTACCAAAAAAGTCTGATCAACCAAACAAAATATCCTAAAATTTTTTTTCGACAGATTAACTATATATGACTTTTATTACACCATAAAGCCATCTGGAAGCTTTTAAGATGAGAGTAGTAAGATATGTGTTTTTCTTTTTTTTTTCTTTTTTTAATTCATTTGGCACACATCACTATAGGTACTTCAAGAAAACATATAAATACCAGTTCAAGGCTCTAGGATGTACAACTTTGGCCTAACAGTTGGGGTGGTTTCTTGCCCTCACCATTTCCAATATCCCTAAAAATAAGGTGATTTGCACATAACAAAATTTTTATGAATTTTTTTGTGGTATAAAGATTTTTATGTTTTTCTTGTGATAAAAACAAATATTACATCCTGGGAGCTGACAGTCTGGGTTCATTTTCTAGCGCCATCAGCATCAGGCAGCCATCCCCATGGCGGGAATGTGCGCCATGGCTCCCACACGGGGCTGCTGGGAGCCCACGGGAGAGAGCATGAGAATTAGATGGGACTAGACATTTAGCGTCCTTCTCGTCCTTTACAGAAACTGTCCACTTTGCTGAGTTACTGTCATTGATGAAATGGAAGGAAGCGACCTCTCACACGTAGTCTCTCTGTATTTTTTTAAAGAATAAAATCTTAACTTTCATTCCTTTTTACTTTTATTTATTTTTTGGCTGGGTGTTGGGATGGACCATACTTAACTCTTGGCTTGTGGATCACTCCTAGGTATGCTGGTTTCTGAGGGCACCATCTGTGGTTTTGAGGATTTTGACAAGTGCTTACCCCTTTAGCTATCTCTCTAGCCCCCGAAACCTTGAGTTTCTTTTTTCTCTTCATTTCAGTTTGTCCACAGTGGAAATTGAAAATCGAGCCCAAGCTCTTCATCTCTTTGAAACCTTGAAGACTGATCCTGAATCCTTTTACAAACACATGGTCAAGTATATTTACCCCTCAATCGGTGGCTTTGATCATGAGAGGCTGCTGTATTACTTTACTCTCCTAGAAAGTTGTGGCTGTGCAGATCTGGGGACATATGTCATTAAACCTGAAACTCATATTCGACTACTAAAGAAGTTTAAGGTTGTTGCATCAGGTAAGACAATCGTTTCTCTGCTTGAAGTCACTCCAGAGAGATTAATTTCTTATACCCCTTCATGTATATACCTAATGACTGGCAGAGATCTGAAACCCAATGATTTTGACACTGATTGACTTTTTTTTTTTTAATTAGTGAAACACCATGAGGTACAGTTGTAGATTTACAAATTTTTGTGCTTGGGTTTCGATTATACAATGACCAGATACCCATCCCTCCACCAGTGCCCATTTTCCACCAACCATGGATCCCAGTGTCCCTCCCACACCCATCCCCCCATCCTACCCTGCCTCTGTTGCAGGGCATTCCCTTTTGTTCTCTCTCTCTCTTTTTGGGTGTTGTGGTCTGCAAAAGAGGCATTGAGTGACAATCATGTTTGGTCTATAGTCTACTTTCCACATGCTTCTCTCCTCCTGGGAGGATCCTCCAAACACCCTTTATTTGGTGCTCCCTTCTCTGTCTGACCTGCCCTTTCCCCTAGAATGGCCGGCTGGTCTCTAAGCTATGGAGTAATCCTCCTGGTACTGACCTCAGCTATTCTTGGGTATTAATCTCCTATTTTGTTACTTTATGTTCCCCAACACTGATTGACTTTTTGTTTCCAACTTCTTCACTCCTGGAGTCGGAGTGACAGTACAGAGGATAGGGTGTTTGCCTTGCATGCAGCTGACCTGGGTTCAGTTTCCAACACCCCTGGAGGGCACCATCTGTGGTGTTGAGGATGGTGCATGACAAATGCTTACCCCTTTAGCTATCTCTCTAGCCCCCAAAAACCTGAGTTTCTTTTTTCAACACCCCATATGGTGCACCCTGAGCCCACCAGGAGTGATCTTTCAACATAAAGCCAGGAGTAAGCCTTCAGATCCATCACATATGGCCTGTGACAAAAACAATTATGATAGAAAAAAAAATACCCAACTCTTTTACTCCTAGTTGAATTAAACATCAGTCCTATAGTTTACTGATAAACTAAGGAACCTGTTCATTGTTACACAGTGACTTACAGTAGACCTAGAACTTAAATACACAGGTTGCACTAATGTTCCAGAGGTCTTTTTTCAACCCCAGTTAGGTTTATTTTACTTAGATAAATGACAGTACTGAGACACTTTACATTAGAATGTTTGGCAGATTTCACTTCCGTGGAGCTTACGTGTTTAAAGTTTGATCGGAACTCTTCAAATAAAAGGCTTGAATCTTGCTAAACTTTGGAAATATTTAGAATGAATTCTATATATCTTTATGCTCATAACTTAGAAATTGAATATCTTAATACCTCTCAAATCTGTTTGAGTCCTTGTAATTTAGAATCCACTTTCAAATTTAGTCATTTCACATTCATAACAGACTTGAGAATTGGTTTCAGTTTATCAGTTGTCGACCCAATAACCAAATTAGACACTGAACTAGACACAGAGGAAAAGTAGATTCAATCCCTGCCTTCATGAAGTTGATGAAATGCCAGATTACTGGCAAATTAAATTTGTAGTGTGTCTACTGCACTGGTAGAGGAAAAGATCAGTTCCATGGAGGGATTGAGAATTCAGACAGTGTTGGCATCTCCAGGGTACATGGAGGAAATTGAGACTCTGGAAGTTGAGTTACCTGTCAAAAACGGGTGTTGTGTAAGTAGTAGGCAGGGACTTGAGGTTTATCTAATTGATAAAGCAAACTAATTGACTAAACCTTTTAAAACTATGCATTGAGACCCCATGTGGAGGTCCTTCAACTATTCGTTTTAAAATAAGTTTCTTTTGGATCTTTTATGAGCAAATGTTTGACTTATCTACCTATTTTATATGCCCAGGGTCATGTAAAATTTCCTAGGCAAAAAGGGATTGTTGTACATGGAACAAGTTTAAGAAGTCCTGCTCTATGACCAAATAGGCAGACAGATATATTCATTCAGCCCTAATGAAAATTTCTGTATGCTTATTTTGGACTGAATTGCTCTTTCTCTTCTTTTCTGGCCAATAGGTCTTAATTACAAAAAGCTGACAGATGAAAACACGGATCCGCTTGAAGCCCTGGGGCCAGTTCTTTCAAGTCAAAATATCTTATCTATTTCCAAACTTGTGCCCAAAATCCCCGACAAGGATGGGCGGATGCTTTCTCCAAGCTCACTGTACACCATCTGGTTACAGAAGTTGTTCTGGAGTGGCGACCCTCACCTCATTAAACAAGTCCCTGCGTCTTCACCAGAATGGCTTCACGCCTATGATGTCTGCACGAAATACTTGGATCGCCTCCACCCCAGTGACCTCATCACTGTTTTGGATGCAATTACATTTTCTCCAGAAGCTGTGACTAAGGTAAACAGAAAGATCACTTAAGGTAGACCACTTTAAATGAAAGTTGCTCTGCCTGCCTGCCTGCCTGCCTGCCTGCCTGCCTGCCTGCCTGCCTGCCTGCCTGCCTGCCTGCCTGCCTGCCTGCCTGCCTTCCTTCCTTCCTTCCTTCCTTCCTTCCTTCCTTCCTTCCTTCCGTCCTCTTTCTCTCTTTCTCTTTTTTCCCTCCCTCCCTCCCCCTTCCTTCCTTCCTTCCTTCCTTCCTTCCTTTCTTTCTTTCTTTCTTTCTTTCTTTCTTTCTTTCTTTCTTTCTTTCTTTCTGCTAAGCTTGCAGTGTTTTAAATGGGAAGTCATTTTCCTGTATCACAGTTGTCCTAGTTGAGATGTCTCTGGCAGTCATGACTCTCCTTACTTATATGTGTACATTGTGTGCATGTTACGCTTCTCATAATATGTTGTTTTCTACCAAGCACTGTCCTAAGCTTTCTGATGGTGGCTGGAAGGAACCTTTGTGCATTCAGTTCTTTCTCAGCCCCAAATCCTACACTGCAGAGCAAGGATAACTATCCGGCAGTGCTTAAACTGTCACGCCTGAAATGTTCCCCATGAATACCATGTAATATATGACTTGATGCTAGAATTTCTTATGAGAGTTTATGTCACATTTTCTAAGGTCTGCTTCCCATACTCAGGTCTAAGTCCTTTACTGTGAGTTCACGATGCATGTGTTTGGTGGCTAAGGGCCACCTCCTCAGGCCTCTCCAGCAGAGGAACAAAGAGAACGGGGGACCACAAACTGTTGTTCAAAATGGCCCATTTAATGCAGGCTGTTAGCATGCTTATAGAACATCATGAGGGGGTTCGAGGTATAGGACTGCATGTAGGTGTGATTGGTCATTTACAGTGGGGGAGCATTTTGATGGGGATAATTCTTTTGGGGGATTAACTCAAGGAGACACTTGTCTCCAGCGGGCTATATGGAGAGAGGGCAACATGCATTATATTTATTTTCTCTTTCCCTTGGTACATATTAGACAATCAAGTTTACTTCCCATTAGTACTTGCAGCTAATTGAATAAACACAGTTCTAAAACTCAGTTTTTTGGGCCCCATGGGCAAGGCTGCTGGGCCTCTACCATAAATCTCAGACTAGTTTTTCTGGCAGGTTTAACTTTCCTTCCCTAGGGGGTCTTGTCTCTTAAGTCATAACAGCTTGCATCAAGACCATGATGTTATGCTTTCTAGACTGTCCCATTTCGATGCCGAGTAGTTTTGCTGCTTGCCCCGGGCACATCCCAGTTCCATGGTGGGATTTCCATTTTGGGTTATTAGGAACTATGGCAACTGAAGCTGAGTCAGGTAATTATGACAGATGCCCAGGAGTAGATATATTTTAGAGTCAACCAACCCCCAAATATTAGGAGCACAGCATTAACAGTCTTTCAGTGTTTAAGCACAGAACATTGCTCTGTGGTAAAATATGAAAAGTTATAGGGGAAATAGAAGCACTGTAGCACTGTCCTCCCATTGTTCACTGACTTGCTCGAATGGGCCCAAGTAACATCTCCATCGTGAGACTTGTTGTTACTGTGTTTGGCATATCAAATATGTAACGGGGAGCTTGCCAGGCTTTGCTGTGCGGGCGGGATACTCTCGGTAGCTTGCCTGGCTTTCCAAGAGGGGTGGAGGAATCAAACCCGGCTCAGCCAGGCCAGCTATGTGCAAGGCAAACACTCTACCGCTGTGCTATCGCTCCAAGTAATTCACAACAAAGTCCATAATCACCTAAGTAACCAAGCCTGACTTGGGGAATTGTAAAGCACAAAGTAAAGCACTGTAGCACTTAGCACTGTTGTCCTTTTGTTCATGGATTTGCTTAAGCATGCACCAGTAATGTCTCCATTGTGATGCTTGTTACTGTTTTTGGCATATCAGATATGCCATGGGGAGCTTGTCAGGCTTTGCCTTGCAGGCAGAATACTCTCGGTAGCTTGCCAGGCTCTCCAAGAGGTATGGAGGAATTGAGCCCGGTTCGGCTATGTGCAAGGCAAACACCCTACCTGCTGTGTTATCACCCCGCCTTTTAATTAAAAAATAAATAAATAAAATGGAATAAAGTACTATTATGTGACAACATTGTGAACAAATCTCAAAAGCATTCTTAGTATAATAGGACAAGAAAAATAAGTCAGATTACTTTATTTCATGTGCTATCGAAGATTGTTACATAAAATCTAGAAATTTATGATGACAAAAGAAGACAGTCTTTAATTTGATATAGACCCATTTCTTTATTTTTTAATTTTGTTGCCTTTGCCAATAGCATAATACTATTGAAGATACCTTTGAGGTCCAAATCTTGGAGGGGTCTGTCTATATTTTCTTCAATGTAGTTTATATAGTCCAAGTGTGGGGTTAGTTATTTTTGCAAATGGCCATTTGATTTTAAAGGAAACCTTTCCGCAATTTTTGCAGGATTGGTTAAAGATAAACTCAGGGGATAAGGGATGCTCGTAAGAGCACTGTAAGCTTCTTTGGGGGAGGAAAAGGGGAATTCACTGATGAAGCCTAAACCACTTTGGGTTAATATCCAACAATTTACTTGAATCCACTGCCTGATCTCAGTGTATTCAAGTAAAGTGAACAGTGAATAATTATCCGCAGAATAGATAATGTGGGTCCTTTCCCCATTCTCAACTTCTTGCCTAGACACCATGCAAAGTATCCTTTTCTCACTGTTTGGACCCAGGTATATTTTCTCATAGACAGTCTCCCAACCTCTGATATCAGGTATTGAACTTTATCGCCTTTATTCTTTTAATTTTTCTCTTGCCTATCTTTCCTGCAGCCTTTTCTTTGTCCTTATTCAGCAGGGAATTCTACTCTGTGTCATATCAGAAATATTTCATTACAGCTAATAGCATCCTTAAAGTTGAGTTCTCAGTGCTAAGATATTCAGATCATTCATTTCACATAGACAGGAGTTCAAATAGTTCTGTGTGGAAACCTATTTTCAATTGACTATTTTCAGTTATTCACAAGTAGGTTTATAGTGGTGGATAAATAACCAATGACTTCATTATTTTGGTTAGTGCAAACCAAATAAACGATTGAGTTTTCAACTTTAAAACCACTGCTCTAATTTGAAGAGAATCATTTTTGTTTTGTTGGCACACTGGTGGTGTACAGTGGCTATAGGCACTTAGTAATCTCTCCTGGTGGGGTTTGGGAGACCAATGTGGTGCCAGTTGGCCCACGCTCAAGGCAAGTGCCCTATCCACTGTACTATTTCTCTAGCCCCATTTTTGTTATTTTTAAGGGGAAAAAAAGGGATGATTTTAAAGGAGGTCACATGAGACATTTGGATAAAGCCAAAGTTTGGAGTCATACAAACCTTGCTTTGAACTGCCACTTACCAGTTAATGTGATTTAGACGCAGAAATCTGTTAGATTGCTGTTTCCTCGAGGCAGAAATTGTGAATTGCATACTGTTACCAACCTGATTTTAGTAGGTGAGAAAACAGAGGCATAACAGTTACTTAGTAAAGGAGCCACAATCTGAATTCAAGGAGGCATGTATTGGGATACTTGCTCCTAATCACTGAACTGTACCATCTCTCAGAAGTCAGAGAACAAACATTGGGGGCTTGTTGCCTTTACACGAAGCAGGGAAGAGCAGTGGGAACAGAAAACCCCAAGTCTTTTTTATCCAAGCCAGGCAGTCTGCATGGGATGTGTCTGGAACAGAAGGCCTAGTAGGGAGGTCCTTGGCAGATGGTGGAAAAGACAAGAGGCCAGCACACATTGGGTTAGAATCTCGAGAATACAAATGGTTCAAAGTCCAAGTCAGTAATAGCAGTGTGGGTGGAATGTATTGGAGAAGGACAAAACCTGTGGGGAGTCTGGAAACCAGAATTGAGACGTGGGGCCTGAGGAAAGGAGCAAGGCCAGCACAAAGCAGCGAGGATGCTGAGGGGGCGTTGCTCTGAGCTTTCCTTGGAGGCTGAGGTAAGTTTTGCATATTTTATGAGACCGGTCAAAGTCTTATGCTAATTGTGTGTTTGTATGTAGAGGTGAACAGACAGTTCTGGACTTTTCCAGCAGTCATTACTTATTCATGATTCAGCACAGGAGCTGAATGCAGGGTTCACTCCGTGTGTTAGTTATTAGGTTTCGAGGCAGGTGATTTTAAATTATAGCACATTCTCATCCCCTCCCTCCCTTTCTCCCTTCCTTCCTCCGTCCCTCCGTCCCTCCTTCCTTCCTCACTTTCTTTTTCTCTTTCTCTCTTTCTCTGTTTTAAAATTTTGTGGTGCCTAGGATGACACCTCGGGCTTTACACATGTGAAGTATGGCTTGATTCTTAATCACATGTCTCCAGCTACTTGAATATCTATGACACGCTGATTGGTTCGTGTAGGTTCAGTTTTCCTGAGGGAAAGATGCATAACTGACCTAATGAGACTGAGGTCCTGCATTATGGCAGTGCTTTCTCCTAGTCAAGATGGTAAAAGATTCAGCAAGATGATATTTTATTGCAAACTATCTCAAGAGGTAATTTTTCTAATGAGGTGGTTTTCAGCTAAGTTATTAGATAAGTGAGATAGATGCATGTAAGATTAATTGTACATCTTGAATCTCCCTTTCTCTTTTTCCTCATTTCACTAATTGACAAGTTTTGGCTTTCATGTAGAGAGGAGAGTATATATTTAGATTAAATGTATGTATGAAATCACACACTGTTGTATTATGTGCATGCATACACACACATACACACAGAGCATAAAACTCATTTTGAAATACAACCTGCACATGTCAGAGGCCACATTTGGAGAAGAAAATGCATCTGGATGTGCCCAAATTTGCAAAACACCAGATGTTTCCACAGCTTGTACATGATGTTAAAAATGTAAAATAACTGTGCACTATTCATATAGTGTGCAGTTCTCAAATGTGAACCCACGTTTAATTCAGAGCCAAACTTTTTGAAAGAACTGGTAACCTAATTCTAGAGTGTATAACGA